ATCATCTCCTGCTGCCCCTCTTGGCTTCGAAGATCTTGGGAAGAAGGAATAAGGAGGGGATTATGCAAGACCTTCACAGAGGAAGGTGGGATGCTGTAGCATCTATAGGTGGATGGGGGGAAATAAGCCTTGTTTAGCTATATATAAAATACAGTGCACACGTTAAGAATTCCTGGACTGGCAGAGGATCTGGCAGGCAGGCAGGCAATTTAACGGAATCTAAACTGTATTAAATTTGTCTTTAATTACCACTCAATGTCACGGTAAACTCCCAAAGTGGAGGCTTCCTCCAGCATTACTTCATTAGGTATATCAGATAAATTCATCCATCTGCCACTTAAGAATTAAAAATAATTGCTAACAATTATGGAAGGATTCTGTCAAATAAAGAACGTGAGGGCACAGGAAGCACAAGCCATCTCCAGCATTCAGCATTAAGAAGCATTCTATTAAAAAAAAACAAAAACAAAGACCTGCTTTGCTTGCTTATCCATTTATTTCAATAATATTCTGACTTTCTTCCAAGGTGCTCAAAGCTATGTGGCCCTCCATACATGCTTTTCCTCCGAACAAAAAATCTATAAGGTAGACTGTGTTTGAAAGGGAATGATTTACAAGGTCATTCAGTATGTTTCATGGGTCAGTCATGGAGATTTTGGCCTAGTGAAGATTCACCAGATCTCCACAACACCGTGGAGGTAACTATGATTTGCATAGTTATCTAACAAGCTAACCACACATCCCTAACAAAAAAGCATTTTTGGAGAAACTGGCATGTCTAAATATGTGGTCCAATTCAACCTTATGTGGAGGTTGCGTGCTCTACCACAAGTGCAGACAACTGTGGACCTCCAAATATTTTTCGAAGGCATTCCCTCCTTGGTCCTCAGCGTTGGCTATGCTAGAGCTTCTGACAATTCTTGAAGATCAAAAACATATGGTGGGCCATAGTTGCCATTCCTTACTTATCAGTCAGAAGCAGCATGGGATGGCAACAACAACATGGATGAGCATACTCTAAAGCAGGGCAATGGTAACCCTTTAGCTATTTTTACACTGTAGCTCCCACAGCCTCTTATCATTGACTGCATGAGCTAAGTAGCAGACTAAAAACATCTTGGGAATCACAGTCGCTAACCCTGATCTCAAGTGAGTAAGGCTGCTGAAATGTGAAATTGGTTAACTCTTAACTGTTTCTAGAACAATGTAATGTGTATTCTGAAATGTATTCACTTGGCTCCTGAAATGTATTTTCTTGGATCCAATAAACCTGATTGTGTTATAATTCAGAGATTACTGAGTCCATTGTCTGAATTTTCTGCACTATCACAGTCAGCATACATAAGCACCCAACGAAGCTTCACCATCTTGATTTGCGTTCATTTCTTTATTGTTCTCACCCTTTGGTAACAAGGGAATAAAGAGAAAGTCCCATTTACAATGCTCAATGTGGAAGAGATCATACTTGATCCCTTTAGCTGTGTTTGCTAGAGTTCAATGGGATTCAAAGTCTGGATCAGAAATGAAGCAATAATTTATCACACTGGAAGAACCAACAGCACTGATTTGCAGTAGACGTGTGGTTTTGTGGTTTTTTTTTTTTTTTTGGGGGACTTGAATCCCTAGAATTCCCTGGGAGAGGCACAGCCCCAGGAAACCACAGTGAAAAAAGCACATATACACACCTCTGAAACACAGTGATATTCTCAGAGATAGAAACCTACTCTTAATTCTACACAAGTGCAATCCCACATTACAGCATCTCCAGATGAAAGGAAAAAGCTGTTGATATGTGTTATCAAGTTACCTCCAACTTATGGTGACTCTAGGAATGAGTGACCTCCAAACACTCAGAGATAAAGCACAACTTAAATGACAGCCAAATCAAAATGTCTATGTCTATTTGACCACAATCACCTGAACTACCCATTACCAATGGCGAATGACAGCTGTAGTCCATCACATCTGGACTGCACCTGGTTCAGGGAAGATGATATACAATTTAGCTATGGCCTTCCAGTAGCCAATATATTTTCATCATCTTTGGTACTGAACAGTTGCTGACAGGTGCCTTTGATGCAATATGTCACTTTCGGAGCTTGTAAAATGCTGTTTCCCACAAGATATAAGGATAGCATCACAATTTGATTTTATATCTAGTGTGTCTCCTATTGAAGTCAATGTTATCCCTTATGCCACCAGTATGCTGGGAGCAGGTTGACAGGGTAGTCACCATAAATCTCTCTCTCTCTCTCTCTCTCTCTCTCTCTCTCTCACTCTCTCTCTCTCTCTGTTATAGCGTGTCCGTCATAATCATTCAAGAGAAGGAAATGATTTGGTTTTTTAAAAATCCTCAAACTTTTCAGTCATCCTCAAACACCAAGCGAATTTACTTGTGTAAGACTGAGTTTAGTTCTACTGTTTATACTTTTTCTTTACTCAAACATTTTAAATTTTAAATTTAACTCAGTTTAGGGGTTGTGGGCTAAACGTCACTCTCCTCCAGTCATTGCTCAGTACTATTTATTGCACTTAATCCCAGACTGCTTTATGGGAATAAAGGCTCCAGAAGCAATTTTAAAAAAAAAAACTTATTTTGAAAACAGCCGTAACTTTCTCATAAAAATACATCTCAGTTTTGACAAGCCTGAGCAACATCTGCAATGCACCAGACCTATCAAGACCCTCCAACCAGAAACAGGAAGTGTACAGGGGCTTGAGAAGTGGCCTGTTTTTGTCCCTGGACTGCCTGCTTGCCTCGTCTTGCCTGGGAGAGTAAAAGCTGCTGAGAGAGTTGTCAAATGCCTGGAAAGTCCCAGCTCGTGACGGATGGGGAGCCTTCAGCCTACTTGTTCTCTCCTATTGTGGTGCCCTAATTCAAAGGTGGAGCGCATGCTTTAACCCAACTGCCCTGTCTCTCAGCAAGAATCCCCAAACAAGCAAATATCAAGCTGTACTAGATGCAAAGATGTCAACATCATTTGCACGTACAGGCAGGCTCAGTTTTATTTTTAAAAGTGACACCAAGAGCCGATCTCCTATAATTTAATATGCTAAAAAGCTGTCCCTTAACCAGCTATTACCTTAAATGTTCAGATCACCCTTTCCTCTGTACTGGCTACGAGCCATGTACAGATATTTTGTTAATAGCACTCTAATGTGTGCTGTGGTGTTATGCTCTGACCACTGTTCCTTGTTTATTATTTTTAGATAATTTAAAAGATTTGTTTCCAGCTTTTCCATAGACACTCAAGGTGGCTCACAAAATAAAATGATTTAAAACAAAATAATCACAAGGATGGCGGATGGTTTTTATAATGTCATGAAAAATTACACAAATAAAAAATAAAAAATGTACTGGCCAGAGATTTGCTGATGACTTACACCAGTATAAGTTACATTTTGTAACTCACTGCAAGTCACATTCCATGGAGAGTGTAATAAACAGTGCAACGTCTCCCTCTATGAGCCTACCTGGGCATTAAGATGATCATCAGAGACCTTTCTCTTGGTCTCACTACCTTCACAAGTGCGGTTGGTGGGAACACAAAAGAGGGCCTTCTCTGTTGCTGCTCCCAGACTTTGAAACCCCCTCCCATAGGAGGTCAGACCGGCCCCATCTTTGCTGCCTTTCCGCAGCAAAGGAAAGGACTTTTCTCTTCAGGCGGGCTTTTTCTTAATGACTGGGGGTTAGAGATGGGCTATTTGTATTTGTATCACTGGGGATACAATTACGAATATCAGCACCAGAGGTGTTGCAGAAATCCAGTGCCAAACTGGCCGATCCACTCTCTGGGTGTGTGGCCATGGTCTGCAATGAAGCTCCACACTCTTGGTCCCACCTCCTTGCCTGAGTGGTCAGCTGCGTGGGGAGGTGGGGAAGCACTGACCAGGCTACTCCCACAATTGATGCGGTGACATGGATGACAGCTATGTGCACTGTGAATGACAACAGTGTGGACCGGCCAGTTCAGAGGGGAGGGACTGTATCTCTACATTTATGGTGCTAATATTCATATGAATAGCCAATCTGTACTGGTGGTCTGAGAGGGATTTTTCAATGGATTGTTGTGCTCTTTGTTTTAAATGTTTTAATATTGATTTTATTTACCATCTTTAATATAATACTTGTTTATTTTTTTAATAATTATATATTTACTGTTATCAGCTTTTGAATATTGTCTTTTTAATGATGTGAGCCACCTTGGATCCCTTTTGGGGAGAAGGGCAGAATAGAAATATTTTAAATACATACATGCATGCATGCATACACAGACAGCTAATAATGTGTCTGGTGCCTCATTTGTTAATAGCAATTTGGTAAGATGAGTTATGCACTTTAGGTTATGCATGCATACACCACCAATGGAAGTCTGCCAATCATGAAGAATAAAGTGAAACAGGAAAGGGGAATGCAACCTCTTTTAGTTAGTTAGTTAGTTAGTTAGTTAGTTAGTTAGTTAGTTAGTTAGTTAGTTAGTTAGTTAGGGGTGAATGCAACCTCTTTTAGTTAGTTAGTTAATAAATATGGTGTCACAATAGATTTAATAAATCCCTCTAAAATAGTCCTAAATATCCAGAGTATGGGAAAATCGTACTGGCGGTTTACATATAGGCAGGTGAAAATGCAAAAGTGATGGCAGCATATCAAGAAGCTGGTTGCTTTCCAGATTGTGTGCCCAGTTGTACAATGGACCTACAACCAGGAACACAACAGACATCTTGTTAATTAGTGGCAATTTGCTACTGCAAGATACTCAATTTCAGTTATGCAGGGGTGGGGAGGGAGAGAGAGAGAGAAATTGACATTATGATTCTGGCCTATGCTTTTCAAATTGTAATGCATAAAAACACTAAAAGTGTTAGAACTGAATTATTGCAGAATAAAAGCTAAAGAAAGAACAAATAAAACCAAGCATTAAAGTAAGTGAACTGATAATACGTTTTGTTTCTTTCTTTCCTTAATTATTAATATATTAAAGCTTTATTAGGGAAAATACCTCTTTTTTGCTCTCCTTGTTTTGTTCAACTTCAATATCGATAGGGTTAGTTCCATTTGCTTCTTCTATTTCATCCTCACTAGAAGATAAAAAAGAAAGCAATACCAGATTATTTCTCTACAATCATCTACAAGCAAGTACAACACAATGGAGTAAACAAGAGAACACAGCGCTTTTCATGCATTCAGGTGAAGATCTGAATCGGGCTCAGAAGGATCCTCTGAAGAACATACAAAGGAAAAGGTTGAATTATAGAAATGACCTCTGATTTAACAGCATGATTCTGCATTTGAGAAGGTTGCTTCCTTTATCTTTTCTAAATCTATTTTTTCATAATGCCTATTAACTGGCTGAGCTGGACAGGGGACAGATTGGATTTGTCTGCATTTGAGAAGGTTACGTCCCTTATCTTTTCTAAATCTATTTTTTCACAATGCCTATTAACTGGCTACCAAAGTGGACACAAGCTTTTGCAATGAAGATTTAATCTAATCTGTTACATCCTAGAAAAAACCATAACAAAATCAGTTTGGTTTAGATAGGCAAAAGAGTTCATGGGTCAAGCTTTTAATTACAGCTGACATCAAACCTCTAACTCTCTTAAATCTTTTTAGAAGCAAATAATTGTTTTGCTATCCATTTTCTTGCATGAGCTTCACTATTTTTTGTGTTTGTGTGTGTGTGTGTGTGTACACAATATATACTATGATTTTATTTTTATTTGTAAGCTGTCATGGTATTTTTTAAAAGGCATGCTTATAAGTATTTATCCATTTAATGTACTTTTAAAAGTTGCTTTCACTCATGAGCACTCAGTGTGGTTTACAATTAAACCAGGCCATGTGCAATGAAAAAAAAAATTTAAAAGGATATATTATGATCTTATTTTTATTTGTAAGCTGTCATGGTATTTTTTAAAAGGCATGCTTATAAGCATTTATCGATTTAATGTACTTTTAAAAGTTGCTTTCACTCATGAGCACTTAGTGTGGTTTACAATTAAACCAGGCCATGTGCAATGAAAAAAAAAATTTAAAAGGAAATATAAAAGTCATCACGAACCAACACAAAGCAAACTGATTTACAGCACAATCTGATGCTTGAGTATTTAGAAATGGGTCCCAGTGAGTTCAGTGGGGTTTACTTATAGGAGGCCAGGTGACTTCCATGTGAATTTTCCTATGTACAATATTAATATCATATGGTCCTATTTTTTCAATAAAAAATAAAGAACCAACAGGTGACAGATTATATCTGCCAAGCACAAGGCAACATATGCTCAATAATCTGTACAAGTAGTATGTGTTTTAAATTCCAGTGTGAAAAAAACGCATAGTCAACTGCGAAATAACAAATAATAGACATCAATCTGGAATGGCATAAACAGCCTTCTTCCCTTAAAAAAAACAAAACCCAAAACACCAAACATATTTAACCCAATCCATTCCATATCCACATAGCTAATGATAATTTTGAAAGAAAACCTCTCCATTGTGAAATAATGAACTGCTTCATTTTCTGTACTAGCAAAGTATTTTAGGATAATCATCAACATTAGGGCAATCATCAATCATTGTCATCATCAACAAGGACAACTTTGCATGCATTTTTCAGAGGTTAAGACCTATTTGCCCTCCAAATCTTAAATGTATCTATTTATTTTACTGTACATAAAGTGGTTGGCATCCCAATTAGGCTTGTTTTCTAAGCACTGTTGGGTTTTTTTCATAGAAGCAGCATCTAGTTCCAAAGGAACATTTTTACAAACCAAACTTCAAGAGATGCCAAAATCCTTGCCCATCACCTGATGTTAAAAAGTAGCTAACAGTGATGCGAAAAGTAAAATGAAAAGTTGACTCCTCTAGAACCCCAACCACTCATTAAGGGCACCCCACTGCTATTTTCTTCAGTGCGTTTATCAATATTCCCAAGATGCAGGAAATCATTCTAGGAAATATGCACCCTTTTCTTAGCAAGTCTTGCAAAACTGTCAAGTGTGTAATAAGGGTGGTGATGTAAAAAAAAACTCACTACACTTTTTTTTTGTTTCCCCCCATCCTGAAAGCCTGTATGATGTTATAGTTGCAGTGTTTGACTAAAACTTAGGAAACTACAATTCAAACTCCACCACTAATTAGCCACGAAGCTTTACTGTCTGACCTTGAGCTAACCCTATTATCTCCACCTGACCTACCACACTATGAAATTATAAGATAAGGTAGATATGACGAGATCCATGTAAACTTCTTTGAGTCCTCTGGAGGAAAGGTTGAACAGGAAAATTACAAACAAACAAATAAATAAGGATGTTCTGACTAATATATCTTATTCCACATAAACCTTTTCTACATTTTATTATGCCTTTTGGGTTCCAAATCGCATCGTTGTAAAATCTGTGAAGACTTTCCTTCCACTGTTTATAGACTTTTTTCACTGAAGGTGACATTAAGGCTCAAAGCACAAACCCTTTTTCCTTGAAAATAAGACCTAACCTAAGTCCTACCCCAAAAATAAGCCCTAGTTAAGTGAAAGCCCATCCTCCACCATCGTGCAGCAACCAGAAGAAGATGACATGACTGCATTTGAATGAATGTAGATGGTTGTAAATGAAAAAAAAAATAAAACATCCCCTGAAAATAAGCCCTGATGCGTTTTGGAGCAAAAATTAATATAAGACCCTATCTTATTTTCGTGAAAACACGGTATGTACACATCTAAGAAAAATGCTTAATCATGTGGTAAGTGGCATGAGCTATGCAGAATTAACACACTCTCCTTATGATTCACTCATTTTGAGTGTAAACCTCTGATTGCCCCATGCTGAGAATAAAACAGTAGACTGTCATTGCAATGCCTAGATATAGAGATTCCCAGAAGGATAGCAGGACCACGGTATCCGTGGAGGATTGGTTCCAAGCCCCCACGCAGATGTTGGAAACAGCATGTAAACAAAGCACTTCCAGTTTCTTTGGTGTCTGTACATGGTTGAGATAGGGAGCCCTGGCCCAGTCTTGCCGAAGGAGACTGGGTTTTCTGCCAGGGAGGCTTTCCTGAAACTGGCAACTGCTGGTCCCCCTGCCCCCCCATCAAATGCAGCTGCTTCATTTCACTGGAAGCTGTTTCCCTCAGAAACGTCAGTGCATGTCCACTAAACCACTGGTTCTTAACCTTGGGTTACTCAGGAGTTTTGGACTGCAACTCTCAGAAGCCTTCACCACTAACTGTGCTGGCTGGGGTTTCTGGGAGTTGCAGTTCAAAAACATCCGAGTAACAAAGGTTGAGAACCACTGCACTAAACCACCTAGATTCAGAATAGTCTCTGGATCTATCTAGTGGCTAGTCCTGTTCCCTACACATTGGGAACATGTATTTCTGGGATTGATTGACTGATTGATTGATTGATTGACTGATTATCGATTGTTCAGGCAGCGGATAAGTGAAACCACAAGTATCCTGCAGATACAGTGGTCCTATTTTATCTGCCCTGGTAGAAGCAGCCTTCTTTTTCCTAAGTATGAAATCTGCAAATAGTACTGTAGTTCATTGTTCCTTACGAAACAGTTTGACGTTTTTATTTTTATTTTTCCCCATCTTGAACCCCTGCAGATACAGTGGTCCTATTTTATCTGCCCTGGTAGAAGCAGTCTTCTTTTTCCTAAGTACGAAATCTGCAAATAGTACTGTAGTTCCTTAGGAAATAGTTTGATGTTTTTATTTTTATTTTTCCCCATCTTGAACCATATTACTATTGTTGCATTTTATTTTATTGTACTGTTTTTATTCCATTTTTATTGTCAGCCGCCCAGAGTAGACTTGTGTCTAGATGGGCGGGGTATAAATTTAATAAAGTAAGTAAGTAAGCAAGCAAGCAAGCAAGTATAAAGCAGCTTCCTCTGGGTGAATCCAACAATAGAGAACACATAGTCGGTCCTCCAGATACTGGGTTGCTGTTCCCATTAAATTTAGACAGGTTAGCCAAAAATGAAAGCTTATGGATCTGCAACTCTGCAACATCTAAAAAACCCACACCTTCTCTACTATTGATCTAAACTCTTCCTTAAAATGCAAACATTCACTTTAATGCAATTAAGATAAACAGTGCCCTTTGGAACTCACTGCTGATACTGTTTTGGCAAAAAAAGGGAGGAGTGACACGTTATATTAATATTTTCCAGAAATGTTTAATTACTAGGTACTACGCAGCAGTGATACTGCAATAAATAAACCCTGCCTGCGGGCTCACAGCCTAAAAAAAGACAATGCTACAGGAAATAGAAGAAGAGATTATTAGCTAGACAGTAAAGGTAAAGGTTCCCCTGGACAAATGTCCAGTCGTGTCTGATTCTAGGGACTGGTGTTTATTCCCATTTGTAATCTGATTCTAGGGACTGGTGTTTATCCCCATTTGTAATCTGAAGAGCTGGCATTTGTCCGTAGACACTTTCCATGATCACGTGGCCAGCACGACTAGACATGGAACGCCATTACCTTCCCACCAAGGTGGTACCTATTCATCTGCTTGCATTTGCATGCTTTAGAACTGCTAGGTTGGCAGGAGCTGCGATCAGCAACAGGAGCTCACCCTGTTACGCGGATTCAAACTTTTGATCAAGAGCCCAGTGGTTTGGCAGTTTAACCCACAGCGCTACCGACACTCCCTTTATTAGCCAGATCTACAGGCTAAACTGAATTACAAGGGTCAGCTGTATTTCCATACCTACGAACCTCCACCATCTCTGGAAGAAACACAGAAGGCCACTAATCAACTTTCCAGTAGAAAAAGCCCCATGGGCAAATACAACTCCAGCTGAGCTCTATAAAACAAATTATAAATTTCTCCACAGTTGATAACACCTATTTAAAGAAATGTGGGCAGAAGGCAAAATCCCTCAGGACTTCAAAGATGCAACAACTGTCTGCCTTTATAAAACGAAAGGCAATCATCAACTTTGTGACAGCCGCAGAGGCATCTTACTCCTGAATGCTACAGGGAAGATTCTGGCAAGAATCCTTCCAAATCATCTCAGAGGCCCCTTGGAAGTGAGAGCTGGTTTCAATATGGTTTCCGTAAGAGTCAAG